GCGGGGAACGTCAGCTGACAACCTCATCGGTCATGGCTAGGCCCAGCCTGGGCCGAGGCTCGGTGTCTGCGCCCTCCTCCCCCTGCCAGGGAGAGGCACTGTTCTGTTTGCGGCCTCCGCGCTCCCCGACGGTCGGCAAATGCCAAATGCTGTCCTCCCAAACGTGCAGCGATGTGAAAATGAGAAAGAGCGTGTTCTACCGCTGCTGGCGGAAAACCGGGGGGGGTCACTACCGGTTCGAACCCCTCCCCCCCCCCCACCCCACCCTCCGGAAAACCGAGGGGGGGTCACTACCGGTTCGAACCCCTCCCCCCCCCCCAGCTCATCATGAAAAGAGGGGGGGGGTCACTACCGGTTCGAACCCCTCCCCCCCCCCCCTCGAAAACCGGGGGGGGTCACTACCGGTTCGAACCCCCCCCCCCCTCGAAAACCGAGTGGGGGTGCGGACAGTGGTGGGGACGGTGTTGGTGGGGACAGTGGTGAGGGGATAGCGGGACAGTGGTGGGGACAGTGGGACAGTGGGACAGTGGTGGGGACGGTAGTGGTGGGGACAGTGGTGGGGACAATGGTGGGAACAGGGGGGGACAGTGGACAGTGGTGGTGACGGTGGTGGTGGGGACAGTGGTGTGGGGACAATGGGAATGAGGTGGAAACAGTGGGACAGTGGAGGGTACAATGGTGGTGGGGACAGTGGTGAAGGCGGTGGCGAGGACGGCGGTGGGACAATGGGACAGAGGTACAGTGGGGACAGTGGTGGGGACAGTGGGGACAGTGGTGGGAACAGTGGGACAGCTCAGTGGGACAGCGGAGGAGTCAGTGGGACAGTGGGGACAGTGGGGATAGTCGGGCAGTGGTTGGGGCCGTGGAGACAGTGGGGAGAGTGGAACCGTGGTGGGAACAGTTCTGGGGACAGCGGGGACAGTGCGACAGTGGTGGGGGCACTGGTGGGGACAGTAGGGGCGGTGGTGGAACCAGTGGGGACAGCGGTGGTGAGGACAGTGGTGCTGGGAACACCAGTGGGGGATGTGATGCGGACGGTGGTGGGGACCGGGAGTCGTTTGCTGGCGGTGAGTAGGGGGGGGGGGGGTTCGAACCGGTAGTGACCGGAGGGTAAGGGGGGGGGGGGGAGGGGTTCGAACCGGTAATGACCCCCCCCCGTTTTCCGGATCCAGAGGGGGGGGGGGGGGGGGGAGGGGTTCGAACCGGTAGTGACCCCCCCGGTTTTCGAGCGGGAGGGGGGGGGGGGGTTTGGGGAGGGGGTGGTTCTGCCGGGAGAGAGGGAGGGGGGGGGGAGGGGTTCCAGCAGGGGGGGGGGGATTTTCGGAGGGGGGGGGGGGCGACCCCCGGGTTCCGGAGGGGAAGGTTGGCAATTTTCCACAGTAAAGCGGCGGTGGATCACGCTCTCTCGAAAATGACGAGCTCTTCACGAGCGCGCTGGACCGTTCACTAAGGGAGGCCGCCCCGAATGGGGCCAGAGCCAAGTACGCTTGCCCACAATGGAACGGCCTGGGACGACCGCGCGTCGGGCGCTCGCCGACGGGAACTCTCAAGACGAGCTACGCCGCAAGGCGGGCTGCCGAGGCATGGCTACGCTTCTCTGCGCCCTCCTCAACGCCGTCCCGCTTGCGCTTCCCGCCTCCGCTCGCGCCCCCGCTGGCGGAGCCCGCCTCGGTGTCCCCTGGCTTCGCGCCGACCATATCAGGCCGCACGACGCGGCCTCCTCCAGCACCGCAAGGCGAGCATACTTTGAGGCGAACTCGTCCAGCATGCTGGCCATCGCGCGAGTGGCCTCCTCTTGGTGCTGCTCGGCCGAGGGGCTTGCGGGCAGCGTGACCCCGTCGCAGTGCCAATACTTCAGAGGACGCTCCACGTCGTCCTCGACCTGCCCGTAGCGTGCGTACCGACGCGTCTCGTGCAGGACGCGAACGTTAAACAAGGCTCCGTAGACCAGGCCTGGCCTGTTAGTAAAGTCCAGGAAAATGCCGTTGTTCTGGGCACGCCTCCGCACACAGTCCCCGAAGAGATAGGGCCAGTAGTGGCTCATGCTTGGGCTGACGCCCCACAAGTCTGCACCGTGGCATTTCATGTCTTGACCAGCGCGTCGAATTAGCCGAGCGAGTTCTGGTCCACACTCTTGCTCCTCCGCCGCCTTCTGAAATTCAAGCAGGTTCCGCACAGGGAGCGGCGCATCAGCCTGCGACAGGAGCTTTTTCATGATGACACCCCGCGGAAGCCTCGCCTCGAGAGCATCCCTGAGTTAATGGCGCTCCTTGTCCTCTTGGGCAAATCATTGATCTGCCTGCAGGCGAGCACCTCCTGCACTGCCTTCACAGTTTGAGCCCTTTTTGCGCTCTTCGCGCTGCCGACGGAGCGGAGAGCGCCACGAAAGAAGCACTGCAACGGCGACTCCGCCACCACCGACCAACCGACCTCCGGCGGCGATTCATAGAAGCGGTCGCTCAACGGCCTCATGAAATGGTCTTAGAGGCTCTCCTCCGTGCACTTCTTTATCGCCTCCAGCGAAGCGCACTCAACGACGAAATCCTCGATGCTATCGTCCACAATGATGACGCGAGTTCTGACAGGGGTTTCCGCTTCGATGAATCGCACCTGGAGATGCGCCCCTTTGATGCCTTCAACCAATCGATGCCCCCACGGCGTACCTTTCAGAGCGTCGGCATATTTCCCGGACAAGACATCCCTGTCCTCGTGAGAGACGAAGACCAAGCAACTCTTAGCAGCTTGCTCAACCCCAAATGCGCACCCAAGAGCTGCCAATGTCAACGCCCGCACCCCTCAATCGGATCCACGAGCGGAGCGGATCGAACTTCCCACGTCATTACCTCACATTGTTCACTTTCGTTTGATCAGCCTTCTTTTCGTCTTCTATCCTCGTCAACTCCTCGAGCAGTTCGGCAGCTGGTGTGTAGTCCCCAGCGGGCGCAGTCTCTTTAAACTGCCGCTGGAATGGTGGTATGTTCTGTAGCGCGCGCCTCAAGCTGTCCATGCTGTCCACGCCTCCCCTGGACAGCGCTCGCTGCACTTTCCGCTCATTTTCTGTATTCTCCATGCTTTGAGCCAGGGAGCGGCCAAACTCCGCCTGCGCAAGCAGCTCTCCCGCTGCCGTGCGCCCACGCAGATGAGCCAGCGCTCGCCGCTGGACTGCTGGGACAGGGCGTCCCGCACCCGCTGGCGCGCGATCTCCAAGAACAAAAGCACGCACGGGTGTTCCTGCACGTCCCCAGGGTGCTGGCCGAAGGCCCCAGAGTTTGCGTAGACCGTGCCCAGGCTGGTCTCGGGAAGCTCGGCCGCCGCGCCGACCGCGGCGGGCCGCTTGGCAGGCGCACTGGAGCGTCCGGGCGCGGCCCGCGACGGGTCGGCCCCGCGGCCAGCGCGCCGCGCGGCGCACCGCGCGGGCTTCGCAGCCGCGCGCGCGGGCATGGTGGTGCCAAGTCCCTGGCCGAGCCAGTGCCCAAGCTCCAGTGCCACTCGCGACGCTTGAGCCAGTAATACACACACCGATCCTGGGCCAAGGATCGGCCGGGCCAGGATCGGCGAGGTGGGTCCCAAACATCCGGCGTCGTCCTTTCTCGCCACGAGGTTGCCCCAAAGGTCTGAACCCCTTCCCGGGGACCGGCTTCATCCGTCTTGTTGACGGCGCAGGGAGCCCAGTGAGGGCCCCCGGGGGCTTACAACTACCAAAACCCTCCGCCGTGAATTTTCACAGTGCGAGCTCAGACATGCGACGATGCGATGTTTGCAGTCCGCTGCCCCAGATCTCCTGACCCCTTCCCCGCGGGCAATGTTTTCGCCCAGACCCCCGACGTCGTGTTTTTGCGCAACATGGACCCCGGAGGTCTCGACCCATTCCCCAAGATCGGCTTCTCATCGTGAGCCGTTTGTTGACGGTCCTGGGGGCCGGCCGAGGGCCCCCAGACCCTGGACAATGGCAAAACCCCTCCACCGTGGCCGCGGCCCCAGAGCTCCCGACCTCTTCCCCGCGGGCAGTGTTCTCGCCCTGAAACTGATTATGTCCCAGACCTCCGCCGTCGCGATTTTTCTGAACGGGAACCCGGGGTCTAGACCAGTTCCCCAAGATCGGCTTCTCATCCTGCACCATTTGTTCAGGGTCCCGGGGGCCAGGTGAGGATCCCGTCCACGGAGGCCGAAAAAAACCAAAAATCCTCCGCTGTGAATTTCCACGACGAGAGCTCAAACATCAGACGATGTGTGTGTTTTCTTTTTTGTCCGCGGCCCCAGAGAGCTCCCGAACCCTTCCCTGGGGACAATGACTTCGCACTGGAACCTTTTTCAACCCAAACCCCCGACGTCGACTTGAATTCACAACGTGGACCCCTGGAGGTCTGGACACATTCCCTGATACCGGCTTCTCATCATGAGCAGCTGTTTGACAACCCCAGGGCCAGGCGAGGCCCCCAGGGACCGAGAATTTATCCAAACGGTCCCTCGTGATTTTTTCAAGACGCGAGGAGGTAAGGGGATGGCCATGCACGGTGCCCGATGACGGACCCCACAGGCCGAGATCGAGGAAAAGCAGGCTAGGACTGAAAAAGCACATCGTCCGAGATTTGGGGGATGTCGGAGGCCGAACGCACCAGCCCGCCAAATGTTTGGAGATCCGCGGAGGCCCAGCGAGGGTGAAAAATCCCTCCGATCCTCTCGAAGTTCGAGCCCCGAAGGTCGTACCTCGCAAAGCCCCGCGACCAGGGGGACCGACCCTGAGGTCCGACAACGCACAAGAAAAATCGCAACATCGTGAAAATCAAAATCAAAGCCCTGTGACCCATCTTTATGCTGCATGTTTCGAGCCAGATCAATCTGTGAGGGTCTGGTGGGCCGAAGCCGGGCGAAGGCGTCTGGTGTGAGAAACTTGCAGCGCCCGAATCTGGAAGTGGGTGGCGCCGAGGGCACGCTGCAGAGAGTAGGGAGCTGGCGCCCATCCAGGCGCTGGCCAGCACTCGAAAAAAGGGCAACGCCCGGATCTCGAAAAAGGGAGGGGCCCCAGAGCACCAACCAGCCCGCAGGATGCCCGGGGCAGCAGCAGCAGCGGGCGGCGCCAGCCGGCAAAGGAGCGCCTGTCCGTGGAGTGGGCCCAGGTGCCGCCGCTGGCACGCGAGCGGACGAGACCTCGGAGGCGCATTCTCCGATCTGGGCTAGCGCGCGGCCCCCAGATCTCCGAGGATAGCGGACATCCTCGGACGTGTTCGTCAATGCCCAAAGGCTTTCGAACGTTTTCGTCGATGCTTTTCAGCGGCTGCGCCTCGTCGAGAGCGTTCCAGGGGTGCCCGAATCGTCCCCAACGGCCGACGGAGGCCCGAGCTATCGCCCGAAAACCACTTGGGACTCAGATCTCCGACTCCGCCGACATGTCCTAGTTTTCGGCCTCCGGGGCCCGTGATGCACCAAGACCACCAAGAACGGACCCGGGGCGAAACAGCTGCCCCAAGGGAAGGGGTCGGGAACTCTGGGGCCGCGGACTGACATAGTCATATCCATGGAAGGTTGAAGGAAAAAACTGTGCAGCAACGACGACAACGCCCGAACAATAAAGAACCCAATTCACCCCTCTACTCCCTGGCCTCAGCATTGGAAATGATTGCACCTGGGATGTTAAGTTCAAAATGACTCCGGTCCCGCTCCTCTGAAAACACTTCCTCGGTATTCAGGCCAGGCAGTGGATGGGGGGTCATGCGAAGTAGCTCCTCAACGCTTGTTGCAAGCTTTCGTCCTTCAACTGGATGTCTGGGCCTGGCTCTGGCCCCGACCAGTCGCGAGCATCCCTCAGATCTGGGCGCAGACAGACAGATCCCGCACGGCTACAAGGCCGATCCTGCAAAGGTCACGGGAGGAACATAGCATGCAATACTTTCCTGCAACACACAGCCGCGCACGTACACACACACACACCACAGCAAGCAGCACAGCACAGCACAGCACAACACTACACAACACAACATAACAAAACACCACACCACACCACACCACGCCACACCCCGACACGCGCGCGCGAATACCATCACTCGGATGCCGTCCGTCCACCTGCACGCTGGACGGCTGCGGTTTCTGGAAGCCACTTCACTGGGCACAGCTGGCCGAATGCACCAGCGACGCACGCGACAGACGATGCCTGCTGCCCGCTGGTCGATGCCTCAGATCCCGGCGCCGCACAGAACAAATGCGGCGGCGGGCTTTTCGCGGGCTGTGGCCCTCTGGAGGCCGCTTCCCGGCCCCAGGGGTCGTCAGAGAACAGCTCCGGCTGAAAAGCTGGCCCCAGGAAACAGGTCGAGATCCCGTGGGGCCCACATCACGCGAAAAATGCGGCGCGGGAGGAGAGGGGACCGCACCGATCGTAGAGGGCATCTCACAGAATCTTTTGGTCGTCCCATAGCGCCCAATAGTGCATTCAATCACATATCCAATAGCGCGCAACGCAGACGTCACGCATCTCCCTCAAATGGCGCCATTGGGCGCAATTGAGCGCCATTTGGGCGCTAGTACTGGGCGCTATTGGGCGCCATTGGACACTCTTCGCCGAAATACATTCGATGCAAAACGAGCGGGAACTTTCGTGACTTATGACCCCGATCCGCCGCCCGACTTGTGGCGCGATCGGTCCTCGAGATTGAGGGATCCGATGCGTCCAGCGGCGAGAAAAGAAGGAGGCAGTGCGCTTTTTCACCTTCATGTCCTGGGTCCCTTGGAGGTGTTAAGGAATGTACCCAGGAGACTTCATACTCTGGATGATTCCTCATCTGACGAGGGCGGCGGTGATATCCATGGCCAAGCCCCAGTTGCTGTTCCATCAACTTCCGGACCCTCGATTCCTTATCCAACGTTTCCTTCTGCAGTGCCCTCACCGTATGGTTTCGGGCCCCCAGGGCCTGCAGAAGACGGCGGGCCCCCGGGGAAGGGATCGAGAGGTCCGGGCCCTGAGATCCGATGTTGCGAACAAAAAAGCAACATCGCGAAAGATCACGACCGGAGCCCTGGACCCCGTCCTTCTGCGGCATTGTTCGAGCCAGGTCGATATGTGATGGTCCCGGGGCCTGACGCTGGGCGAACATTCCCAGTGTGAAAAAAATGCAGCGCCCAGATCTCAGGGGGAGGGCAATGCATCAAAAATATATCGAGCCGCCGATGCCTTGGATCGGGAAATTGAGAGAGAAACCCTGGGCTCCGCTGGACACGGTTTCGTGGATCCTGCTCAGGGCGAAGTCCGTCTGCTCAATCACGTGCTGTAACGTGCGCTCAGCCATCTGGCCAGGCGTATGTATCGTCACCTTGATCCTCTCCTCCACGAGCCTCGTCAGCAGCGGCGCCCACTCGATTTCGGCGTGCTTCGTGATGCCATTGATCCTCCCCTCGGTGCCGTCGAGGATGGTGTTCCCAGTCCCCTCCGCATGGGGCAGACATCCAGCGATGCGACTTGTTCGAGACATGGGCCCCCAAACCTGTGACCCTTCCCCGGAGGCCTGCTTATCATCTGGAGTCACTGTGTCGATGGCACCGAGGCCCGAAACTAGCCCCATGAGGCCGAAACTGGCCTCCTGAGGTCCGACCCTGGGCGTCCTAAGACCGTCCGTCTCGCCCTAAGACCGCCGTCCGACCCTGGCCAAGTGTTCGAGCTGCGTCCAGCCGTGGCGACGAGAACCCCAAGAAACGCGCTAACTCCACCGAAGGGCTGACGACGACAACGAAGACGGCAACAACAACAATCATTCCCTACCTAGGCTCTGCCTAGAGGGTTCTTACTCTATTAGCTTAAAGGGGCCGGGCAGTGGGCTTCGCCCCGGGCGGTTCCCCCGGTCCCCGCCCCGCGGTTCCCCCAGTTGCGCCCCCTTACCTTAGCTTTGCGTATCCCATCTTAGCTTAGCTTAGCTTACCTCAGCTTAACTTAGCTTAGCTTATCTTAGCTTGGCATATCATAGGATAGCCCAGCATAGCATAGCATAGCGCAGCATAGCATAGCATAGCATAGTATAGCATATCATAACATAGCGCAACATATCATAGCATAGCGCAGCATAGCATAGCATACCATGGCCTAGCATAACATAGCGCAGCCTAGCGTAGCATAGCATAGCGCAGCATATCATATCATATCATATCATATCACATCATAGCATGGCATAGTGCAGCATAGCATAGCATAGCATAGCATAGCATAGCAGCAAAGCAAAGGCAAAGCAACAGCAGCAACAGCAAAGCAAAGCACTAGCAATGCAAAGCAAAGCAAAAGCAAAAGCAAAAGCAAATGAAAGGCAAAGCAAAAACAATGTGCAACAGTACGATCAGAGAGCCCACCCAGTGACCGAATGCAAACACATGAGTGTGTGTGTGCGAAGGCAAAGCAAAAGCAAAACCAAGCAAAAGCAAAAACAAGCAAAAGCTAAATCAACTGCGACGATGAGGAGAAGGAGGATGACGGCGTTTACCGTTACTACTCATGCTGCTTTCCTAGGGGCTCCAACTCCTAGGTGGGGTCGCACTGGGGTAATTTTAAAACTGTTCGTTGTTACTGGCACGCGTGTCTTGTATTCCGTATGCCCCAACCCTCGATCCCCGCCCACGTCGTCTTCGATTGCTCCCCCATAGCGGGGGGAATCTCTTCCTTGTCGGCCACTCACTGACTGAAGCGCGAAGAAATCTCAAGCGAGAGCGCCGTTCCTGAGTTCGGGGGCCTCTCTGGCCAGGAGCTCTCGAAATACCTATGGAGAAATATCGAATGGGAGCCCTTTGTCGCCATCCGGGCCTCCACCAACTTGCCTGAATTACGGGAAAGTCTCGAGCGAGAGCGCCACTCCTGAGTTCGGGGGCCTTCTTGGCCAGGGGCTCTCGAAGTAAATCGTGAGGAAATATCGAGCAGGAGCCGTTGTCGACGTGGCTGGGCCTCCGCCAACTTAATTGAATTGCGAGGAAGTCTCGTGGGAGAGCGCCGTTCCTGAGTTCGGGGGCCTCTCTGGCCAGGGTGTCTCGGGGTACACTTTGAGGGAGTATCGAGCGGGAGCCGTTGTCGTCGTAGCTGGGCCTCCAAGGGCCCACATTTCGGCTCAAACCAACGCTTGAGCGGGAGCCTCACTTTCAGAGAAAATGTAGCCAACGTCGAGGCGAGAGCGCGCGGAACCGTTTCCGGAGATCAGCAAATAATCATTATGTAGAAATGAATATTCAACTACAGCAACAACAACAACAGCAACAACAACAACAACGATAACGACAACGACAACGACAACGACAACGACAACGACAACGACAACGACAACAACAACAACAACAACAACAACAACGACAACAACAATGATTTTAAGACTTTTAGCCCTTTATATGCTCGAGTGTCAAATAACGCGTATTTCCCAAACCCTCGATATCCGCTCTCTTCGTCTTCGATCGAACCCCTTTTGGGGGGTATACCTTTCTTCCCTGCAGGCCGGGCCCCGGCAAGCGGCGGGGCGGCCGCGGACCGTCGGCCTGGCCAGCGGCAGCGCTGATCGGCGGGGCGGCCGCGGACCGTCGACCCGACCCCAAGAGGGACGGACAGGGGACCGACCACGACGACGACGACGACGACGACGACGTCGAAGACGACGGCGACGACGACGACGGCGACGACGAGCGAAAGCGAGAGCGAGAGAGAACGACAGCAGGGCCACGAAGGGCACGAAGTAGGCCACGAAGGGCGACAGCGGGGACACGAAGGGAATGCGTATGGGGCCACGAAGAGCGCGAACGAGCGGGGGCCACGAAATGCAGATAATGTGGAGCCACAAAAGGCAACTATGGGGCCACTGAGGGTAGCAACTGGGCCACGTAGGACAGCGCGGGGGACGCAAATGGCGACAGCGGGGCCACGAAGGGCATGCACATGGGACCGCAACGGGCGCGACTCCTGGGTGCCTGGGTGTCGGGAGCGCGGCGTTTGGGCAAATTGCAGGACATTCCAACGCAAGGCCATTCTTCAGCAAGTTGCAAACACGTCTCCAGCGAAAGCGCGACTCCAGAGCGCCGGGAGAGCGATTCCTGCATGAATTGTACGGAAGTCCCCAGCGAGAGCGCGATTCCTGAATAAAATGTGAGGAAGTCTCGGGCGGGAGCGGGGGTCCTGGCTAAATTGCAAGGAAGTCTCAGGCGGGAGCCGTTGTTGCTGTAACCGGGGAGCCAGGGGCCCAGTTTGAACAGGAAGACTTTCCCTGTCAAAAAACAGGGTGCGAGCGTCGAGGGGCACACTTTGAAGAAAAAACAATATGCACCGGTGGGGGGGGATCAACAATAATTATTCTTCAGAAATGAGAATTCAACAACAACAACAAAAACAACAACAACAACAACAACAACAACAACAGCAGCAGCAGCAACAACAACAACAACAATCATTCTAAAACTGCTCGCTCCTATCTGCCCGCGTGTCATTCACTATGCATATCCCAAACCCTGGATTCCCGCCCTCTTCGTCTTCGATCGTACCCTCTTGGGGGGTTCTATTTCTTCCCGGCCACGCGTAATTGGAGAAGCGCGGGAGGCGAACCCGCAATCAGAGGCAGCGAGCTCTGGCACTTGTCGGTGAGACCTCATTTCACTTGTCGCAAGCAGATATCAGCGGCAATCCACACTGAGACCCCATTTCATTAGCCATAACGCTGGGGTCACTGCGTGCAGGAAAGCGAAATACGGCAGTGGACAGCGTTGTTGCCCAGCGGCCCCGCGGGAGGTGAAGTCGGAGCACGATGTCATCAATCACATTGCTGGGATTCGCGCGTGCGGGACTGTGATCAGCTGTATACAATAACGAAGCGCCATTACTACAGCGCCAGGATCTGCTTGTGCGAAAAGGGTGAGCCTCAGCAGCAGGCACTGGCGATGCTGCTCAGCGTGATGTGGAAGGCAACGCTCAAGGAGAGGTGGGAGGTAAACTGGGGCCCGCCGTCGCCGGCCACGTTGGGGTAAGAGCTCTGGCAATGTTCGGGGGCACTTGGGAGACGATGCCCAAGCCGAACGTCACGCAGCGCTGGTACCGGCGCGTGCGCGGCAAGCCGGTTGTCCCAATGGGCTCTGGCGCTGCCAAACGGGATGTTCAGGGCGAAGTTGGAACCCGATACGATGGCAACGCCGAAGCCCGCGGGGCCGCGCGGCCGCGCGTACGCACTAATCGCCTCTGAGCTCTATTCCCTCGGAGGGGCGCGTATGAGAACAATAATTATTCTCAGAGAGGTCTTGACAAGGGCCAGCGACCCGGCAGCGACCCGGCACCCGGCACCCGGCACCCGGCACCCGGCACCCGGCACCCGGCACCCGGCACCCGGCACCCGGCACCTGGCACCCGGCGACCCGGCGACCCGGCGACCCGGCACCCGGCACCCGGCACCCGGCACCCGGCACCCGGCGACCCGGCGACCCGGCACCCGGCACCCGGCACCCGGCACCCGGCACCCGGCACCCGGCACCCGGCACCCGGCGACCCGGCGACCCGGCACCGGCGGCACCCGGCACCCGGCACCCGGCACCCGGCACCCGGCGACCCGGCATCCGGCGACCCGGCACCCGGCGACCCGGCACCCGGCACCCGGCACCCGGCACCCGGCACCCGGCACCCGGCGACCCGGCGACCCGGCACCCGGCACCCGGCACCCGGCACCCGGCACCCGGCACCCGGCACCCGGCACCCGGCACCCGGCACCCGGCACCGGCACCCGGCACCGGCACCCGGCACCTGGGCACCCGGCACCCGGCACCCGGCGACCCGGCGACCCGGCAACCCAGGCACCCGGCACCCGGCACCCGGCACCCGGCACCCGGCACTCCGGCACCCGGCACCCGGCACCCGCACCCAGCGACCCGGCACCCGGCACCCGGCACCTGGCACCCGGCACCCGGCACCCGGCGACCTGGCACCCGGCACCCGGCACACCCGCCCCGGCACCCGACACCCCCGGCACCCGGCACCGGCGACCCGGCCCCCTGCACCCGGCACCCGGTCGGCACCGGCACAACCGGCACCCGGCACCGGCACCGGGGAACCCGCACCCCGCACCCCGCGCCCCGCACACGGCACCCGGCACCCAGGCACCCGGCAACCGGCACCGGCACCCGGCCCCCGGCCCCCGGCCCCCAAGCCCCCGGCCCCCGGCCCCGGCACCGGCCCACCCGGCACCCGGCCACCCGGCACCGGCACCCGGCACCCGGCACCCGGCGACCCGGCGACCCGTACCCGGCACCCGGCACCCGGCACCGGCACCCGGCAACCCGGCACCCGGCACCCGGCACCCGGCACCCACCCGGCACCGGCCCCCGGCACCCGGCACCCAGCACCCAGCACTCGGCACCGGCTGGCCAGACCGGCAACCTGGCACCGGCGGCACCCGGCACCCGGCGGACCTGGCGACCGGCACCCGGCACCCGGCACCCGGCACCCGGCACCCGGCACCCGGCACCTGGCACCCGGCAC